CTGTCTCGTCTTAAACATCCTCAGCGGCAGGCATATATTTTCCTCCCAGGAGCGAAAGTTTTTTCTCCTTAAAATTCCTCAAATGACATTGAAACTTCTGGAATTTGCGAACAATGTCCAAGGAGTTTTATTCACTGCCTGCTCTTTTTGCTCTGTTCCACCTACAGGTTCGCGCCATTTGGCATCGTCAATAAGGCGAGGTACCATTTCAAAGTAATACGTACACACTTGAACATGCTACCTGAAACAAGTGAGTAGTCGTTTATGTTTACTCTTTATGACTAACCGAGGGCTGCTCGATTTTCGTCTGCAATTATGTAAAGGACCTATTTTTAAATTTTCTGCAGTACCAATACCTTTATTAGGCAGTGTGTTACCAATAGGGAGCTCAAAAGCGTGTGCCTATTTTCCCTTAATAAAACCGAACTGAACTGGACTTTCTTCAGCACGCAACACCGTCCGACCAACACACAGGTGCCTACACAATGTACAGACTAACCACAATTGAAATCTGGCTGACGGGTCCCTTAATTACCTGTCTGACAAAGCAACCTCTCAGCTGACTCGACTTCATGGAAACTCTTTGGTCGTATTTATCACTGCTAGACAACAAGTGGGGTTGCATAATTTCCACTTGCATTCCTGTTTGTACGTCATGAACCATCGACCAAGTGATAACCGAAGCAGCGACAAATTGTGGAGGCTAGATATCGGGCGGAACCATACAGCGTTATAGGCTAGAACAAATTATAACACACCGACCTAACCGTTCATTTTTAAGTTATCATGACTTAGATTGAGAGTCAAGTACTGCTGCAACGTGGATTAGGTGGGCATAACGTCTAAAACCGCAACCATGATACCAGCCGCATACTCATCGCCGGTGCAATACGTAATTGACCTCTGTGGTGCGTTCGAAATGCCAGTTCAGATGCCAGGCAGGAAACAAACTGGAAAGGACAGGAAGAGACCACCCATTCGCAGAAGATCCAATGCGAAACATACGTCCTCCGCCTTAATAATGTTCAGGACAGCATACCCGAAAGGCGCATCGTGCATTATGCGTCCTGATTGGCCGGACTGACGGGCGTGAAGCAGTGGAAAGAGGAGACCTTCATCTACGAGCATTCAGGCGCTGACTCGTCGATGCGCGCGAGGGAGGCGACTTCTGTCGAGGGTGGTTAATCGTCGGGCTACAATGCGTTGGAAATTCATAAAAAAAACATGATCGAAATTGGGCTTGGTAGTTTAGCATAATGAAACATTGTTTTCCCGGAAGAAATTTGAACAAGGCGGGGATCACGATTTGAGCAGAATTTATTGACGTCATAAAATTTCATGACCTCTAATTCATCTGCAGACAGTCATTGCCTGTTAATATAATAAATTAACTGTCCAATTAAAAGGGTGAAGCTTAATAGGTAAATAGGATGGGAAACATAAGTAAAACATATGGGTGCGTAGTGAGGGGTAGAGGAGGGGGCAAGTAATTATCCCAGCAAGGCAGTTCAGGTTACAGTGAAAGCCTGTGAATTTTTCTACGGATATGATCGATGAAGAAATGTATTATCTCAAGAAAGTGTTTCTTGGAAATGGTTATCCTGAGAAATTCATCGGTAAGTATAGCGAACGCAGATGGGAAAATTCTACCGAAATATTTGAGGCAAAAAAGCCAATGAGCATTTTGCTCCTTTTCAAGTGCGATAATGTGCTCAACGTGATCAAGCGAAGGGTTCGATGCACGATTGAAAGAAGTAACCCCGCCTCTAAATTGTTGTATATAAGCACAAAAACGGCTGTTTTAGTAAGACCAACCAGAGACACTCTGCCTATGCACGCCACCTCGGACTGCGTTTACGAGTTTACATGTAGTTGCGGATGCAAATACATCGGGCGCACGCAAAGGCAGCTGGCAACGTGGTCAGCTGAACATATGCCGAAGTAGTTGCTCAGGGCGGAAGATAAAATATCCAAGAGTTCAATCACGAAGCACTTAGTGAATACTGGCCAAACAGTTGACCGAAAGACCACGTTTAAGGTCGTACTTCGGGCGGCGACCGGACGTCTCCTACGATTTGCCGATGCCGCTTAATACGCAGAGGAAAACCAGAACTCTGTAAGCAGCTGGATCATGTGATCAACCTCACATTGCCTTGGTAACGATCGATCACTTCAGTCCCTCTCACGCCTTCTCCCTCCCCCCCCGTTGTGACCGACTGCTGCCCTGTACTTTCCCCCACCCCCTTTTAATTGTGCTTCACAGACTTTCACTGTAACCTGCTGCCTTGTTGTGATAAGTACCTGCCCCCTCCTCTACCCCCTCAATATGCATCCACATTTTTTACTCATGTCTCCCATCTTATTTACCTTTTAAGATTCACCCTTCTAATTGGACAGTAAATTTACTATATTAAGAGGCAATGATCGTTTGCTGACGAATTAGAGGTCACGACATCTTATGACGTCAATAAATTCCGGTCAACTCGTAATACTCGCCTTGTTCAAGTTAAGCATACATTTATTCGTGCTATTTTGGTCAAATGAATAAATTTAATCCTGAGAAAGCCTTTTTGGAAGGAAAACTGCCTGTTTAGTTCAGCATATTTAAGGATAATAGGCAGAAATTTGGCGAAATCGAAGGTAGTCTGATATCGAACAAATTTCCCATGCTATTTAATATGACAGAACCAAACCGTTTTATTTGTACGCAGTATGTTAAGGGGGAAACCCGATAAAAGTAAGGAAAGATTAAAATAAATCCCTTTCACAACAGGAAAATCTAGTCTTACGTTGATAAAAATCCAGTGAAGCCAGTTTAAGAAGTTTTTATTCAATAATCTTATGCATAACGATATCAAACTGCTGTTATGAACGTACTCTTTGCTCGAAAAGGTTATAAGTATGGCCCACTTTGCCATCTTCATAAGAATTAATATCCACGAAACCACCTTTTTGGTAAATGCTATTAAGAAATGTTTTATTTGAAAGGTTTTTACATAAGGTTTTACATAACCATATAAATTAATGGAGTAAAGCTTGAAAACACTGAAAATCGTGGAAAATTATCCGGAATTTAAAGGACGATTTTAACCTAATTGTAATCCAATAACTGAAATATTTATAAAGAAATCAAACTGAATAAAACGTTTTTTATACAAGAAAAATGGTACGGTATAGCTATAGCTATTTTTCACGTCTGTGGAACTTGAGTATTGTTAGGAAATCATTATTATTCTTGCCTGCCAGCACCAGCCCCTGATTGCTCCGGATTCATCCCTGTTCACCCACGGGGCAAGCAGGGGCTGATACAGACAGGGAAGAAAAATAAAAATTTCAAAACGTTTCTCATGTTAATTAACAAACACTTAGTTCTTTTTATAGTTCTTTTAAGTTACAAACTCGCTTAAGGTTCTCCATTATTATTTCAGAGATTTCGTGGATGATTTAGTGCCGGTTTGGGAATTATTG